GATTTTTTTACAATTATGCGGCGTTTTTTCAGCCTTCTGATTGGTCGAAGTTGTCCTTGTCGAGGTCATTTTTGCGTTCGAAGGTCGTTTGGTTTGGGCTGCAATTCTTCAGATTTGCCTGTATGAAAATTGACTTCATGCTTTATCTATTTTCCCAGGCACTTATAATCCATCCACCAAAGACCTGTTTTTTTTGTCAATGCGAAGACAATACTTCTGTAATTCCTGATGTGTTGCACTCACTGACAATCTAGCGAATTTTTCCAACTATGCACAGAAATGATTATGCATAAGTGAAAAGGATGTTTTATACTATTGGGATTAACATTTATCAAGTGTATGTATAATCTCCAGTGTACATGTTAAACATATTTTGCTATCGACTGTAAAATGTGACTGAATAATATGGTTCTATTTCTGTAACAATTTGATGATGCCTGTGTGTTTATTTTACACGATGGGTTTGCTATCCTCATGCCCAACCTTTTCTCTTTACCAGCATTATTTCTGGCTTAGCGAGGTAAAGGAGTGCGTCGGCCGGGGATGGAACCGCGGACCATGTGAATGGTCGGCGAGCATACCAACCGCTATGCCACCCACGCGTTCTATGAGAACAAATTTATTAATTTAATAAATAATCAGTGAGTGAAAATTTATAAAACTCCACAGTAGACAGTGAGTAAAGCATTGGTATTATCAGATGCAAGGGAACAACTTCACTATGATAAACAGATTTTATGATGGAATTTGTTCCGCTGATCATTGTACGTGCTAACAGTATTCTGAATATCTACCAAATGTGCGTCGGTGGCACAGTGGTTAGGACTCTCGCCGACCATGCACATGGTCCGGGGTTCGAGCCCGCACCGACGCACACCTGATATCTATGGTTGGCCTGCAAAATTTGGGCTACCGATATCACATGCTGAAAATTCCATACTTGTACCGAAAATACAGTGTGGAATCAAGCTGTAAATCAAATATAAAAATAAAAATATGTAGGTTCTAGTCAATTCAAAACACCGTTCGAGTGATACAATCGTAGAAAGCAGCATTACTGTACATATACAGCGCTTCAGTGTAGTTCCTTCGAAAAGAGAATTTATAGTCAGTGAATTTGATAGTGTTTCGTGCTAATGACTAGTTCAGGTTTATAGTAGTAAAAAAAACCGGAGAGAAACTAATAATGATCACTGTCTCCACTTATATAGGGTAATCATGGGAACGGATAGTAAAGAAGTTAAATCCAAACGCAAAGTCCATAGAAAACGTAGAAGAAAGGCAAAATTTTAGTAGTGCTTTTGCTGTTGTACTGATTTAAGCAATGCGAATAGTTGAGCGTTTCGCTACATTGATTGAGAGCACCCGTTCTTTGAACCACTCTTACAATCTGTTGAGGTCTCCTTGCACTGTGAGTGTATCACTGTCGCCCTCTACCTACTTTAAAATTTTCAAATCATCTGCACATGGGATCACAGGGGAATCATCGACCACAAATAGCACATTGGTAAATAAATAAGAGATGCCCATGTGCTGTGCCTTGTGACACTCCACTACAGACTATCGTCCCGTAAGAAACCGTTGAGTTAATCCCGAAGCTCCATCTCGTTCCCAAGATGAATTTCATGATCCATTTTGATAAGCTTCCCCTGATCCCAAGACTTTCTAATTAACCAGTTGGTCTCTTGTGGAACGATCTATCGGAAGGTTTGCTGAATTCTATGAAGACGACATCGACCAGTCTGCCGTTGTCCCCTTATTCGACCCAAATTTCTCTTGTCGTAAGAAAGTTTGGCAGACATGAGAGATTTTCTGAAAGGCCATGATGTGTTGCGAAAGCCATGTGTTCCAGATATGCCACAACGGTCTTCTTGATGATTACTTCCGGTGTCTTTATAAGTGCGCTGTATAGACTGATGAGCATGAAGTTTTCAAGGCTTTGTCTTGATCCTACTTTGAGGATGTAGTTAACGAGTCATCCTTCCAATCACATCTTGTATCCGCCAGCTGTGATCAGAGGCGATGCTCTGGGGAGGGATGAAGACGCCTCTTCAAACGTTTTGGAGAAGGAATCTGGTATTTTTCTGCCTTTGTTTGATCTTCGGTTGTATCATTATCAGCATCCAGGTTTTGGACCCCATTGGATGTCTTGTTCAAGGAAATCCTTTTAGGTGGTACCATTGCATTTTGAGTCAAATATACCGCGCACTTTGTCCTTAATTTGCGGATTTCTGCAATAGATTTGTTCCTGGCGGCGTTGTATAGCTTTCTGGTCTCTGTAGTTTCAAGCGCAGTAAACAGGTTCTATCATTTGTGTTTACGCCTGAGTAATTTACGAGTCTCTCGGTTTTTCCAGGGAGAGCAATGCTCCCGATACTTTGAGACATACCGAGGTATGAAAGGCTTAGGCATTTGGCGCGTAAATTGCTTTAAACAGGTTCTACGCGGTTTATACTTGGGACTCTGGGTTTATTCGCCAGTTCACAGAGTTGGCTACCGAGATGGTCGTATTCGTATCAGCCCACCAACTTTTTGGTGGAGCTTCAGTTTTGGCCCTTGCTACCGTCGCTGTGAACTTGAAAGTGAGCACAGCACGATCACCTCTTCCTAAATGAGGTGGATGTTATACAAGGTCCACACTCTCGCCATGAGAGAACACCATGTACGGGGTCGAAGGGGAGTGCTGTGGGCCTCATGGCACTTTGGAACGGGGCTAGAGAAGCACTAAATTTCAGCACCTCATAGATAAAAGGGGTGTCTGAAGATGGATTTGTTTGGTTCGTTCAGTCATCTGTTGGGATTTTGAGGTCTAAGATTACGAGGATTTGACAGTTCAATATCCAGGAGCCTAAATAATCCATTAGGAAGTCATCTGGGCTGCAGCCGACATTGCAGCATATAGTAATGAGGTCAATACCCTAACCTACGCTTTATGTCTGCGGTGTGAATATTAGCGCGTTTCGCTTCCGTCTGTGACAGCCTCAGTGCTACAGGCGGTTGAAAACTTTTTGAGGCGGATGACTATGCTAAATCCTCTCGGTATAGTCGGCCCGCCATATATATCATGAATTCCGGCAGTTCAGCTTCGTTATCAGTAACATCGGATGTGAGCCATGTCTCTGTGGTGACAACTTATCCATGCTTGTACAACTGGTGTGTCCTACATACATATGAATGAACGTATATTATTATTGTTTCGTAGGTACATCATACTAGCCGGCTCAGTCAATTTTTCAACAGGGTGTGGGCATTTAAGTAAAAAAACTGTGAGCTCAGTTCAGTGCTTCTGTGAGTCACCCACAGAGGTTCCAGTACCAACAGACTTTCAAATGTTGCCATTTGAAAACCCCTTCTTGCTGCCTTAGTCCCAGTTGCCCAATTCTAGAACGGCTGGCTGTCTTCTAACACTCTGCTGGACGTAAGTCAGCTTAGATATACATACATGATCGTTTAGGAGTTTGAGAGTTGCCTAGTGCAGCACCCTGCCTGCTTTTGGGTTAAGTACTACTTCAAGAAAGCGTACCGGTTGTTTTACTGTAGGCCCAAACTTAATACCGATTCTATACAAGCAACATGTTGCAAATGCATCTGCACGTAGGAGAGACGATTCCACTGTAGAGCAATGTTTAAAGTCTATACCGCGAACTCCCAAAGGAATTATGCTTCTTTTCCTCTTAGGACTAACATTATATATGAACTGATATTACACATGCTTAACCATGAGATTTAATGTATTGTTTTCGTTTAGATCCATGAATCAAAGTAAGCATCAGTCATATGAGTATTGTTTTACTCTCTTACATTCCAACGAAAGACCTTGAGCTCTTGACACGCGCTGTCATCGAAAGTTAAATTAAATAGTGGACTTGTTATTCAGTTACACTAGGTATATTTATTTTACTTACGAATAATTTGCCGTAATGTTGCCGTTATCGACCTATTTTTTGTGTACAAAATACTGCTGAGTTTTATAAATAATATGATAAGAGACGGTTGGTAAAACTCTCTGACAACTGGAATTACCCTTTCGTTATATTGAATGGAACACTTGGAAAGTTTCAAAAGTTGTTATTTTAGTGGCCTTGAATTTTGTGTTCGATCGGAAGTGGCCACACCGATGTTGGAGTTTCGCTGTAGATATGTATTCATTGAAGCATTGTTATCATAGACATTTCCTCCCATAGCGTTGTATAAACGTCGGAATGATTTTGTATGAATTTTGAGTAGTTATGATTGTCATTTCCACTCAGGCGTATTATTTTTTCAGCACAAGGATTTTTCAATTTATTTTGTTATATTTTAGCGTCTCGAAAACTGTTCATTGCAAATGGGTTGCCCAAATAATTTTACACCTTCAAAGTCCATCGTTTTACCTATTATGAACGAAAGCTTATCATAAATAAGCCATGCGACAGTGCTAAAGGGGGCGTCATAAAAATGTTAAGTATAAGTGTCGTAATAAGTAGTATTAGGATAGACAGAGATGAAAATACTTGGAAATTAATATTGTATATCAGGTGTTTGACCATCACTCTCTGCCAGCTGGCGTCCCTAGATTTCTTATATTCAGTTATATTTATAAATGGCCTTCGCGATATTGAGAAGAGATTGTGAGATAGCACCACTTGCCACGGACAACAGCGTCTAATATAGTACTTATCTTCTCTTAGTTGGCTACCAAACTGCATTTCACGATATCGGACGTTCAAATTACCCTAGGTGGCGATATATAAATGGTAGCAACCTTTACGAAATTTCACTGCCGGTGTTACGTGTAAATGGAATATGCGTCGGATACAACAATATAAATAACAGTATCTAAATGTTAATCTATAGCCATGTCTACTGCCCAAGTATGTTTTAGAGACTGGTAACCAGTATTTTTGTGTGTAAGTCTCAAATCATTATTCTTGTTTTTCTTTGTTAGCATTAGATGTGGAGAAAAGTTGTAGTCTGATGTAGTGATAGGAAAGCAAAACACGTATGGGGGCCCAGAGATCATGACTTCTTTTGGAAAATATGTCAGTAATTTTGTTAAAACTGCAGTTTCATCTATATCACCTAATAAAATAATATCGTACACCATAAGTCAATATGAATCCGAATATCAAGAGTGAGTTTGTGTCACGTTGTGTGTAACCTCCAAAATATAGCTGTGAACGACTTCTACAAGAAAAATCAATTTATTACTTTTACAAAGTGGCAAACCATTTTGATATGGTGTATTTGCCCGGACTGGTTGGCAGCTCAGGTAGTGGTGAAAATATACATGCTTACAGGTATCTGTCGTTGTTAAATTTGTAATTGATTTTCAAAATATAGCTTATTCCGATTCCAAGGTGAAGAGGAGGCAGGTGTTGCTATGTTTTCACGATTCATGGAGGTCCTTGATCCTCTGCATTTGGCCTGCATAAGCGTGGGTTTAACTATCGATCGTACTTGTTTAGAGAAAATAACTACTTACTCTCGAAACAACTATGGTTGGGGAGCTGCTCACGTGGCTGCAGCAATTTCCTGGCGCGAGCTCTTTCTTGGTGAACCTGTTAGAAGGTAAGCTTATTCATTCATTGAACAAATTGAGTCCAACACTTTAGGCTTTTGAATGAATATGATCCTATCTCCGGTCTAACTCCATTAAGAATTGCTATAAAGGAAAAAGATGAAGAAACTGTCCGCTTTTTGGTAACTTTGGACAATATTACTGCATTTGAAAGCGATGGAGATGGGAATACTGTGGTCCATTTGGCTGCTGAACACGCTTCCAAGAGAATTTTATGTGTAAGTCCAAAGTTGAAATAGTTACTTCTAAGGGATTATCTAAGTATTCACTTGTATAGATTATGTAGGTAGATAATATTAGTCACTTGGTAAAGACGTCTTCGTACTCCGAACACTTACTGCAACTATAGTACACAGCTCCTTGTTCTATTTGAGGGTTTGCCGTATCCATTTCTTCATGATACTTAACTGTTATCATCACTAGAGGACAAAGACATAGTGGAGTGTTTGATTTTTAAATACTGCTAGTCTTAAAATTTACCATAAGGGAATGCAGCTGGATCCTCACTGGGGGAAGCAGCTGGGGAAAGAAAAGTCTTTGATGCTCCTTGGTCACCCAAACTGAAGTGTTTGAAGTGCTTATTACCTCAAAGTTGACTATCTTTCACGATGACCATATAGGCTTTATTTGTTCTATTGATATATAATTATCTTTTCACTGTTAGTGTCATTTAAATGTCGATGTATGAATGCAGCAACTTAATTTGTTTTGTAACTTATGCAAATCCAATACAACATTGTGCAATGGCGTATGCTTTATAAAAGCCTTTTTTTCAGTATCCTATCGGTAATAAGATGACTGGGGGTGGCTTAAAGTTTATTGATAACCGATCTGATGAATTTTGTCTGAGTCTTCTTGTATGCATGATGTTAGAGTTAGAGTCTGCTGAACATTTAGCCTCAAAATATGTAGGTTGGCATCGATAGAGGTTGTTTCTTTAATTCCTTTTTTATCCATCTACTTGGATATGGATTTCTGTTTGGTGTGTTTTCTTCCTGAGGATAATAAATAACGCCGATGGGGGGTGTCGGTTCCGTTTAAGTTGACTTTCTTTTCCTTAGTGAAGTCTTGAGTCAACATGGTTTTTAAAATATGACAGAATTAAATTTTGAAATAAAATTTATAATGACGGAAACAAATAAAAAAACTATAAAGGCAGTGTATAATTTAAGTCTGAATGATGCGACAGACAGCGGACAGCGCGAGGAAACAGGCATAAAATGGACCAACATAAAAAAGAACATGGAGAACCTGGACTTCGCCGATGTGGTTTATGTCTGATTCCCGACAAACTGGAAGATATTCAAGTGTAAAGCAACAAGTTGGCAGAAGAAGCATCCAGAGAAGATAAGACTTTAGGTAAACATAAAGGAAACAGAGTGAATGAAGATTCCTGGCCTACAGAAACAACAACAACAATAGACAACAATCAGCCAGCATAAATGGGAGAAATCTGAAAGAAGCAACCTCCTTCACTTAACTACCTACCTACCTACCTACCTGGGAAGCATTGTTTCAACTACGGGCGAAACTGACAAGGATATCAAAGTGAGGATCGGGAAATCAAGGCAAACTTTCATTTCTCTCAAGTTTGTGTGGAGGTCAACAGCACTTCTCAGCATGAAAAATAAGATTCGGAATTTCAACTCCAATGTAAAGTCAGTGCTACTTACCATATGGATCAGAGACTTGCATTGCGCATCACGAAGGCCACTTCTAACAAACTACAGTCCTTCATCAACAGCTCAGTACTACTCAAGATCAGATGGCCGGCCAGGGAAGATCAGCAACAGGGTGGGGTCTCTTGGAGCAAACCAACTAGGAACCGATTGTGCAAGAAATATGCAGGAATAAATGAAGGTGGATTGGTCATACCCTGAGGAAACCATCAAGTGACATCACATGCCCGGTCATCACTCGAGTGGAACCCAAACGAGAAGCGGTGAGTTGGTGGTCACTGCAAGGGTGACTTGGAGGAGGTGATGTGAAGAGGAGATGAAAGCATGTCGGCAGACTTGGTGCTAGGTGAAAAGGTTGGCAGAGAACCGAATGCAATGGAGACGTGCAGCTGAAGTCCTATGTTCCTCTAGGAATTAAGGGAAATAATAATAATAGTAATAATAATGGTCTCCTTTAGAATACACAATTCCCACCTCGCTACTTAAATAGTGACAGTTTCAGTAGTTCAAAGTGGTAAGTTTCTCCTATCTCTAATTCCTTTCACAGATTTCTTTTATCACATGCCTAGTCTTTCAGGTATGTATGATCACTGGACTTCATTATTGCAAGGTGCTTGTCATCTACGTAAATTCACACTGAACTGTCTATCATGTTATTGACAGTAAAATTATAATTTAGTAGACTTTTCAGAATCTAATACCACCCAAAATTTGTCTCCACACCTGCGTCATAGTAGCTAGAGATACGTGTCGAATGTGGGATGATATATGTGTGTATGTGTGTGTGTGTGTGTAGGCAAGGCATGAAGTCCCACTATCTATTTCTGTTTGTGTTTCTCCTTTTGTTGTTGTTGTTGTTGCTCTTACTGTGTTTAAACTGGACATCTACTGTCGTGACTGTCTTATGCACGGGAACCAGTCTCACAAGTGGAAAAGTTTCAAAGCTTGCTCTGTTGCTCAGTTTACAACTTGAACTGATGCACTTCTCTACAAAGCTTCTGAATTCATCTTCCTTTCAGTCTGATTTGTTGTACTTAACACTTAGTGAGACTGATCAGACTTTTTGAGATGAGTGATCGTCAAAACAGATCTATTCATTTAGTAAGCTTCACTTCAAGCTCATTGTTATTATTATATAGGTTAAGATGGAAAATGTGCTTATCGGTAGCTGTGTCCTTATAATGTATAACCAGAGAGTGTAAGTACGGCAACTATCTGTAGTGACACATTGTAGTCGAAAGGCATAGATGACATCTACTCATTGTTTAGTGGAAAAATAAGCTTGCTCAAATTGACTAATTTCGTGAAGGTTTCTCTCTCTGATCCGGATAAACCCTACAGCGTAGCTACAGAAAAAAATTGAATGGATAAAGCAGAAGGCAAGACACGGAAGCCAAGGTATATTTTCTTCAAGTGATGAAACAGCTATCTGTATATCTCTACACAGTTTATGCATCCTTTAACCAATCACTGAGCGAGTGTGTGATTTTGGTTGACATTAAACGACATGAAATAGAATGTTCAAATACATTTATATCGTATTCTGTTGCTAATACAATATATTGAACTGTGTGAGAATAGTACTCAGCCGTTAACACCATCAAATACAATGAGTCTCTTACTGTGAGAATAATATTCCTTTGGCACACATTGTCTGCATCACACCACCACCAGCACCACAAGTTAAGCGGTATATTCAATTCGGCGTTTGATAAGTAGTCATCTTTTTTCTGATTTTGATTGCTAAAATGTCTAATATATTAATTATTTAAGTTTATTATTTTGGTAAAAGGCATACTTCCTGGTTTCAAAAAGAAAACAAGAAGTTACGTGTTGTATAGGTTGTCATCAAACCTACTTACTGTCTGTCCTTTGTTGGAATATATACACAGCGGTCGGTCATCTACCGATATGATATATATATGACTGCTGTTAACGTTGACGACGTCATTGATGGCGTGAATATTGATTTTTTTTCAGCTTTTTCGATTTGTTTTATCTCTCCGTCTCTTCTTTCCTTGCATACACAACAGATGTGTAGATCTACTGTTTGCAAACTGTCCACGTTGTATCAATCTGCCAGATTTAATAAACCATAACACGCCAATTCATTTGACGCGTAATTTCAAAGTGAGCGCTATCATCATTTTACCCCTTGAATGTTTTTATATATTTGTATGTGATAACTGTAATTATAAATTATTATGATTTTTACATTTCGTATTAATGGTTGTGTATTGTATATGCTATGGAAGCAGGCTGACAGCTGGATAAACAAATAGTCTTATCTAAACAAGCTCAGTATATAAAAATGAAGTCGTTATATATATATATTCCGCATTTAACTATTCTAAGACTTTTATTTAGACATTACGCTTCATTTCAACCACTAGGTTCCAGTCGAACTGAGACGTATGCTTATTGAGACTAGTCGATGATTTCGTCAGGGTTGATTTGTCCTCAGCAATTTTAACTTCGGTTATACCCACAGTTCTGCTGGTTAAATATTTGCCAACATTAACTATTCAGGAGTGTACTGCTGTGGTAAGCTTTTTGTCTTCAAGAGTGTGTTTGTAGGCATTGAACTTATTTCAAGTTTGGTCATGGATTGATATCACTTGGAGAATGAGCTGTTTCATTCTAGTCAGGCATTCATCATCGGCAGGCAGTACGTGTACCCATTAGGGTTCGAACCTAGCAGTTACACAAATCAAGCTCGTAAACTATTCAGCCATTGGGATCTGATTTTTATAAAATGGCTCATGAGTTTAAACTTTTTAGCAGTGATTGGTGATTTTAGCGCGTCTGGCACCACCAGTCGGTGTCATTTGTGGCGAGTATATTTGTCCTTACTGCAGACTGGATGGACCCGGCTGGTCACGATTTCTCACTAGCACTCCAGGAGACTTTGTTGTGTACACCTAGGCATGGGTCATTGAGTAGGGTCTTAGTGACTGAATGATCTAAGAGCTTGTCTTGTCACTGGAAAGTGCTGTGTTCGAACCCCCGTAGTGGGTGTGTAGTGCTGATGAGTCCTAAATAGAGCTGTCCAGTACTCCCTGTAGGTTTTCCACTGGTCCTCTAACTTATGTCAATCCGTGATCAAGCTTGAAGTGATAATAATAACTTTATTCTGGACAGTTTTTATATGATGTCCACAATTTTCAGCGATCTTCAAGTAAAATAGTAACTGACAATACATCAAATGGGATTACAGGATTTCACCATGAGCTGACATTGGTTAGAGCACCATTGAAAAACCTGGGAGTGCTGGACAGCTGTTTCCACTGTCCTAGTTTGGGACTCTTTGGCAGTACGCCGAACCCACCGGGGTTCGAACCCAGGACCTTCGGGTTACAAGGCTAGCGAGCTCGTAGACCATTAAGCCACTGGGACCCGATCCAATGGCCAGTCGATGAATTCCAACTTCTGCCGATTCATGATATAGCGCAACCGCTGGCCAAAGTCTTCGGCGAGTATTTGTCCTCACACCCGACCTGGTGCACCCTATACTGGTCACTGGGAAAATGTTATCTGACCTGTAGGTCAAACTAATCCCTTATGAGATATTTCCTGTTTGTCTCCTTCAAGGAATACACGACATATGGCTAAAAGTCAATTAAAAAGAAATGCAGGGGTGCATTTTTGACAACGAAGAACATAACATAAGTGAATAATAAGAGATTGACTGCAGGTGGTTAGTTGTATTTCCTAGGTAATGAAAGTGTTTGTACCTTTGGAGGTGGTCATATTTTAATAGATTAAAACGAAGTTGTTCAAGAAAAGTTGTGTGTAGTGTGGTGACGGAGGAGTTTTATGGTAGCCCAAACGTTAACGTTGTATGTCAACAGTCACTGTAAAGCGATTAATCAATGAATGAAGAGACTGTGTGTTTTAGCTAGAAAGGTGTTTTTTCATAATAGAATGACTGACCGACTGGTTTCAACGTGGAACTGCTTTGTATAGATGTGCATCAGTTCGAGTTAACACACTGCCTGCCAATGCACCACACAAATCAAGAGGAGAGAGTAAGGAGAGAGAGATTCAAAAGAGCGCTCGCGAGAGAGAGAGAGAGAGAGAGAATGGATTGAAGTGTGCGTGAGGGAAAAAGAATAGTAGTAATATGGAAGAACACTAGAGTAATTTGATTGGATATGACAAAACAGAATTCTCAGATAAGGGAAGAAAATCACCTTAATTGAAGTGTTTCAAGTGTACCGATGATTTATCCAATTATAAACAGATATCAAAATAAATTGATTTACTAGGTGAAGAGAGTCAGTAAAAGGTAAGTTGGAGAAATGGTGCTAATAAATCTCATAGGAAAGATATACATAATAATAGGGTGATATTCACAAAATATATATAACAATTGAACGTGGGATTATATCCACGGTTAGAGGGAGTAAATAGAGAAGTTTCTTCTGTGTGTACATAAATCGGGGTTCTCCGAGTTATATCTACAAAGTCACACTAATAGAATTAACCCTAAGGGGGTGACTTCGGCCACTCAGGGATTGACTTTTTACCAGGGGATAATCTCGTTGACTTGGAATATGTAGATGACAACATAGTCCTTCTAAGTGAGGATGCTGATAAAATGCAGAGTCTTCTGAACACCTTGAGCTGAATCTGAGAATATTTGACATGCGAATCCCTGCCGCCAATTGTAAAATGATGCTACAGGTGTGGACTGGACTACATTGACTCCTAGCTTAAAGATAGACAGGTAGTGAAGTGGTTAGTGGGGCGTGTTGACCACTTCACTTATTTTCGAATTTGCATCAGCCAACGTCAACGGGTTGGTCGCTGATGAAATTTCAGAAGGGATACAAAAGGCTGGTTTCGCATATGTCAGTTTAAGCTGTCTCTGGCGTAGACGTGATACCCGTCTGGCTGTCGACCAAAGGATGTGTGTATAGCTCAGCAGTTCGCTTCGTCGTGCCTTATGGCTGGCTGTGAGTGAGACCTGACCGTTGAAAGTGGAAGTCATGAAAACGCTAGGCTAGCCTAGCTCTTTTGATCATAGGTGCTTGCGTTCTATCTACTCCTTGAGTATAACTTCAAGCTCAATATTTCGTTATTGCTACTATATTTTGTACGTGAGATGTATCCTGTGTGATGTATTATCATCATTCTCTTTACCCACTAAGCAATGTATTTTGAATTATATATATATATAGTCCATCCCAAGCAAAATACTAAGCCGAATCATCCTGGAGAGAATCAAACAAGCCCTGGATGCAAAACTTCGACCGGAACAAGCCGGATTCAGGAGAAACAAGTCATGTATTGGCCGAATCGCCACACTACGGATCATCATTGAACAAAGCTTGGAATGGCAGTCACCTCTCTACCTCCCCTTCATCGACTTCGAATAAGCCTTCGACAGTGCAGCGTCGATCGAGAGGTGATTTGGCAACTACTTCACTACTACGGGGTCCCATCGACAATTATACGTCTCGTCCAACAGTTATACGACAATGCTACATACCAAGTAATCCACAACGGGAAACTTACGGAAGCCTTCGAAGTGAGGACGGGAGTGAGGCAAGCTGGCTGTCTACTATCGCCAATGATCTTCGTGACTGCAGTAGATTGGATAGTGCGACAGACAACGGGCAATGGGGAAACAGGCATAAAATGGACCAACATAAAAAAGAACATGGAGAACCTGGACTTCGCCGATGATGTGTATGTCTGATTTCTGACAGACTGGAAGATATTCAAGTGTAAAGCAACAAGTTGGCAGAAGAAGCATCCAGAGAAGATAAGACTTTAGGTAAACATAAAGGAAACAGAGGTGATGAAGATTCCTGGCCTACAGAAACAACAACAACAATAGACAACAATCAGCCAGCATAAATGGGAGAAATCTGAAAGAAGCAACCTCCTTCACTTAACTACCTACCTACCTACCTACCTGGGAAGCATTGTTTCAACTACGGGCGAAACTGACAAGGATATCAAAGTGAGGATCGGGAAATCAAGGCAAACTTTCATTTCTCTCAAGTTTGTGTGGAGGTCAACAGCACTTCTCAGCATGAAAAATAAGATTCGGAATTTCAACTCCAATGTAAAGTCAGTGCTACTTACCATATGGATCAGAGACTTGTCGCGTCATAAAGAGCATCTCAAACAAACTTCAGACCTTCATTAATAGTTGTCTTCGCTCAATACTCAATATCGGATGGCCGGCCAGAAAAGATCAGCAACAGGGAGGGATCTCTTGGAGCAAACCAACCTCGAACCGATAGTGAAACAAATAAGCATTAAGAAATGGAGGTGGATTAGATTGTCCACACTCTGAGGAAACCATCAAGTGACATCACTAGACAAGCCATTGCTCGAGTGGAACTCGAAAGGGAAGCGGGTGGCGAGTCGGTGGTCCGTGCAAGGGTGACTTGGAGGAGGTTATGTGAGGGGAGATGAAAGCATGTGAGCAGACTTGGAGTGGAGTGAAAAAGTTGACAGAAACCGAAGGCAATGGAAACGTGTGGCTGAAGCCCTATGTTCCTCTAGGAATTAAAGGATATAATATATATATATATATCTTTACTGTTATATTAATATCCAATTCTTATGAACATTTTTCGTATTACATAACCTTTAGTCTAGACCAACTAATCTTCAACGTCTCCCCATCTAGTTACAGTTTGATTATTCATCTATTTTTAAAAAAACAAACATTTTATTGATGTAAACAATCCTACGAACTAATTTTTATTCTGATGTTGTTATGTTTGACAAACTGAATGTACACACACGTATACACAAGAGTATAATAATTTTATATATTTTAGATTGTGCAGTTAACTGAATGAATTTTTTTCAAAATGTTGACTATTAAGTAGTTCCATGTGAGACACACAGTGAATTCACTAACATACAGCTAACTTGAAATCTGTCTTTCGTCATATGATGTCTGCTTTCTAAAAACTGCGCCTCCTCTCCACGTCGAAGAATCAGCATAAAAGATGATTGACTGACTGACTGACTGACTGGTATCAACGTAGAACTGCTTTGCACAGATGTTCAGCAGTTCCAGCCGACACACTTCACTTTTCTGCACACAAAGCAAGAGAAGAAGAAATGCGAAACAGAGATATAAGGCAGAAAGAATAGTAATATGGAAGAAGAATAAAGTTTTCTCGGATATTATAATTCACAAGGAATGGATGCATCTGCGCCAGCCATCATCAAGAACGACCACTTTGAGCCATATCACCGATTGTCTCCAGCCACCACTGGTTCTCACCATTCCGAGGACCCCAACCAGCCTGGAAGCCAGTCTACACCTTCCTACTTAGCTGGATTAAAATAGCTGTTGTGAATTTCATTGACCATCATTGGAGAACCTCGCTAACTGATGTCAGTCAGCTCATGATGAAATCCTCTAACCAATCAATCAAACAAAATCCCTACAAAAAACAATACCTGAAAATTAATCTAATGCTCACTAGTGACTGGCCCTGTTCAGACAGTTAACCTGGGGTTCTAGTGGGAAGCCGTAACCACTAGAATACAGCAGGTTGAAGGTGAGGCAGCAAATCATCGAAGAAGAAGACATTGTGAAGTGGTCGCGCTATGTCATGAATTGGCAGCAGTTAGAATTCATGACCTGGCCATTTAACCTGAAGGTTCTGGGTGCGCACTGCTGAAGACTCCCAAACTAGGATAACAGAAACAGCTGTCCAGTACTCCCTGCAGGTCTTCTGGTGGTCCTCTGACTGATGTCAGCTCATGATGAAATCCTTCAATCAATCAAAAAAACAAACAAAACCCCTACAAAAACCAATACTTAAAAAAAATATCTGGAGTAGTGTATTTATGACTGCTCATAATATATTATTGTACACAAGTGTTTTTGTTAGACAATTTTTCACCTTTAAATTTAATAATCTTACGATTTATATATGTATATAATTTTCTTGCTTCTAAACAACATTCACGTGTGTGTTTAAGTGACTTTTTTTGAGTCTATAGATTTCGCGCCAGTGAATATTCTAATTAAAATCACAGTTTGTTGTACATCCATATTCTATGGATGGGTCATTCGTTCTATACAAAAAAAATTCTAACTGAATTTTAATACTAATGTATATTATAATGTATTTTGTATAAAATAAAATATTTTGTTTATATGTGTGTGTTGAAGTAAAATTATAATTTGTGGAATTTCTATGCATTCCATCCACTCATCTCTCATTAGTGTTGATAATAATAATAATAATATTATTACTACCAGTCTTGGTAAAGTCACCTTATTTTACTGGTCATAGCGAGAGGATATTAAGGTTATGAGTGTGCGCGCGCGGATGTGAATTTACTGTCTTGTGACAATCCGTACGCAGATGCACCTATCCGCACACACAAACACACTCACCCACACACACGCACAGGTCAAATTTAACAATACTTCGGTACTGTAGAGATAAATATATTTATGTATTCGTATTTTCTGAGATTTATGTAATCTACAAATCAAAAGTGGAATGTTGTTATTAAAGTTATTCGTAAGGTGTTATCCTTCAGTGCTTCAAAATTAAAGATTGAGACTGTATTGTGTATGATGTCTATGGAATTGTTGTTGTTGTTGCACTTATTCCATTCTCTTATATCACTCTAATTATATAATATGCCGTCTAAATTATTGGATCCCAGTGATGAAACCTCCCTGTGGATTTCGTTTCACATTACGAATTATTATTCACTGGAATCGGAAAGGCGAAATCACACAGCGGGCTGGCTGGTGAAACACCCTGCCTTCGGGAAGCCAGTCAGTCAGTCAGTCAGCCGATGTGTCTTCTTTCTCTCTCAACGAAAGGAAGAAAGCGAAATTGGCGACGTGGTATGTCCGTAAAATGTACGACACTGGCTGGGAAGGCTGGTCGGGTAGCCAAAGAAATGCAAAGATATAGCCTAGAAGTGCTGGGTGTGGATTGACAACACTGTCAACGGGAGAGTCAACAATCTCCCCTGGTCTGGTCACCCAGGCGACGACCACGAACACACTGAGGGAGTGGCTGTCATGATGTCACCAGTGGCAGCCAAAGCCCTAATACAGTGGGATCCAACTTCCTCATTCAGGATCATGATAGCAAGATTGAACTCAAGGAAAGATGGTTACAACTATCCATTTCTACGCACCGTGCTGCAAACAACGTGGAACCAGTGGAGAAGAAGGAAGATCTTTATAGACAACTACAAACAGTAATGGACAGCACTCTGAATGGGGATATCAAAATCCTTATGGGCGATATAACTGTGGACTAGGAGCAGATAATACAGGAAAAGAACTCATCACGGGTGGAGAGACTCTGGCTTAGCGAAATGAATGAGAATGGAGAACTCTTCGCAAACTTTTGCTCTGTCAATGATTTAGTGATTGGAGGCAGCATGTACAAGCACAAGGATATACACAGTGCCCCAGTGACATGGATTTCGCCTGACGGACAGACCACAAACCAGATGGACTTCATCTCAACGCCGCTTAAAGAAGTGATCATGCAGCCAGCCTGGTGGACTGTTGAAGAAGCAGTGAAGACAGGACTGCAGGTGAAGATAGAGAAGACGAAGGTGATGAAGATAAACAACCAACATCAATAACAACAACAACAACAACCAGCACTAATCCTCATCAACAGGAGAAATTCGAAAGAGGGCACTTCTTGCCTTCACTTATCTAGAAAGCACAGTTTCAACCACAGGCAATCGGAACGGATAAGGATGTCAAGGCCAGCCAGAATCGGAAGGGCAAAATACGCACGCCTTCACCAACCTGAAAGCAGTCTAGAAATTTTATGCACTCCGCCTCAGTTTCACAAGGTTGTGGTGTAACACCGGTCCTCATAATATACGCAAAGAGCTGTTCGCTGTTATTTGTCACCACTATCTTCTCCCTGTCTGTTTCTCCACCTTCGTTGTCCTCCACTATCAATGCAGGCGGATATTGTCAGTGTATATGTAATATGCATTCGCTCTTCATGATGCTTGAAATGAGCTCGCTTGTATCCATTAGTTTTATGAAACCTCTTGTAATCCAATAGCTCTACACAGCCTTCCTGACAGGGTCAGAAACAGTATTTGACGTTGCCGTTACTTGCAATTGAAAACTGTTTTAAACTTTTTGAATAGGAATGACACTTTTCTCGTCAACTGAAGGCACAGTCACTTTCTATGTGAATGCAGATGGCGATGTCCAAAAGTAATGTGAATTTTTGTGATCCGAAGCACATAGTAAAGTCCTACTATCTTACTTAACATGAAGTGCAACTCAGTTTTTTTCACTCACGATGTGGGGGGGGTGATTGAACCCTTGTCCACCTACCTATTAAAGCCTTAGCCATCATGAGAAAATTTGTTGTCTGATATATACGAGTTTGCGCATGGTTCTTCATTTGGATTCAGTGTTTTTGGTTGTTATCACACTTTTAACTTTCATCTACGGAAATGTTATTGATGTCTTTCTCGATTCAGCAGGAATTACTGTGATCATTGTTTGGTTTTGTTTGTTATTTTTTGCATATCTCAGATATTTGAAAGATTATGTGATCTTGGAGCAAATTTAGATGCACGTAATGATATGGGACTTACTGTTCTACACATGAAAGTCCGTGATAACAATTTCGAAGAAGTCCTAGCTTTATTAATCAATGGTGCAGATCCAAATCTGTGTGATATTGACGGAGCAACTCCTTTGCATTACGCAATTATTGTAAGTCTTATTTAATTATTATTACTATTGTTTATAATCATATATAACTTAGTTGATATACCTCTTTGAAAATGGAAGGAAGACATGAAGACGCTACGATCAATTACTCACCATCTTGGTGACAGACTGACTGACTGCACTTTGATATTGATTACATTGATCAGTCATCCTTATGAGTGATTTCAGCTCACTGAGTAAATTTCTATCTTACGAATTGTAATCACCTTCTTGAGTGGATAGTGTAAACTTACAGACTAACACTGTGGTGTGTGCTTCCTGTCTTCTCCTCCGCAGCCACCCCAGCCATCGTTTTCCACTTTGGAAGAAGGTGTGTGTGTGTGTGTGTGAATTGATCATGACTTAAACTAAGAATTATAATGTGATTACATTTCAGATGGGTTAATTTTTCGTGGTATTTTCTCTACTGCTACTGTTACAATTGAATCACCGAATTACTTTATTCTTTTGTGACTATTTTTGTTTGTTTTTATTTCATGCAGGCTGCAGCTGATTAGATAAAACCTGTGAAATTGAATGACGTCACATTTTATCCTGCAAAATTAGTCTCTGCTGACTTTCTTAAAAGTTATCATGAGAGGCATATGTGTGTATGCAGTATCACTTGGTCATGGTTTTGTTTTTTTGTTATTTGTTTATCGACTGATTCTTGTTTATTACAGTTTTCTTATATTGAAAACAAGGATGATTGCGTCACTTGACTCTTGAGGTGGCGGAGGAGCATGATATCGTGTAAAAGCCATCTGAGCGTGTAAGGAGATATATTCATGTTAATATTGCTTATATATAAGATACAATCAGGCAAATCGCTTAGAGTCTTTTGCAGTCATGTGATGAATAAACATCGCAATACGATACAAATAGCCGTATTTCTTATTAGTTGTGAGATGAAAGGCAGCAAACGAAGGATACAGGATAATAAGGTGGACGTGAATACAACTTTCGTGCTATAACAACACACACACACACACTCTCTCTCTCTTAGTTGAGTAGTTTAGTTGTTGAAGAATATCAGTATGATTCTATGCGAAATTAGATGGTTTTATCTGTTATATTTTGTATAACACACAATGCACAAACTATTAATCACTACTGGATGACGTTTCTTGCACATTTTATTGCTCATAATCAATCATATCGGTGTTTCACCTGACGTGATAACTTGCCTTAGATCGTCGTGCTCCCTGTTACTTTTCTTTTATTGCAAGTTTCATGGTGTCTGGTGTAGACGTTGCCATCGTTCCTCTGTCTCTCCCTATGCTTATGTAACAACAGAAGGCAAGACACGGAAGCCAAGGTATATTTTCTTCAATTGATCAAACAGCTATTTATATCTATACAGTTTATACTCTTTAATAATAGTGGTATGATATCAGATGATATAGTCCTTCTAGGCGAGGATGCTGATAAAATGCAGAGTCTTCTAAACAACTTGAGCTGCAATCTACGAATGTTTGGCATGCAATTCAATCATGGTGTCAAATGTAAGATGATACTACAGGTGTGGACTGGACTACACTGACTCCTAGTTTAGAAATAGGGAGTGAAGTGGTAGAGCACGTTGACAGCTTCACTTATTTGGGAAGATGCATCAGCCAGCCCCAACGGGTTGATCTCTGACGAAATCTAAGCATGGATACAGAGGGCTAATTTCGCATATGCCAGCTTACGCCGGCTCTGGCTTAGTAGACATGATATCCGGCTGGCTATCAACTAAAGGGCGGGTGTACTGCTCATCAGTCCGTTCTATCCTCCTTTATGACTGTGAGACCTGGCCATTGAGAATGGAAGACATGAAAAGATTAGCTGTCTTCTATCATAGGTGCCTGCGCCTTATCTCCCATGTGAAGTGGTATAATAAGGTGAGAAATATTGAGGTTAGGCGTCGGTCGAGTGCTAGATAAGGTGGGAGGGGAAATCAATCGACGAGGCTGTGAAATTACATCGACTGAGATGGTTAGGACATGTGTTACGTGTGCTTAGCCATCGCCTTCCTCGACCGATGGGCAATGTTAGCTGATATAGGTTCAGGCTGGAAAAGAGCTAGTGGCGTTCAAACCAAAACATGGCACCAGTCAATGAAATCTACAACAGTTAGTTTAATCCAGTTAGCCACGTAGGAAGGTGTAGACTTCCTGACTGGTTGGGTACTCGGGATGGTAAAAAAATGGTTGGAAACAATTGGTATGGCTAAAAATCGTTCTCAATGTCTGGCGGAGATGCATCCACACCTTGTGATTGATGATTTCCAGGGGAACTATATTGTTCCTCGTTATTACTATTCCTTTGTCTCACACCTCTGTTTACTGTCTCTGTTGTTCATTTTTCTACTTTCTTCTCTTGCTTTGTATGCTACAATGGAGGGAGTGTGGCAACTTGAACTGCCGCACATCGGTGCAAAGTTCTATGACGAAAATAGGCAGACAGACATATTCTTTAACCAATCACAGAGCGAGCGTGTGATTTTGGTTGACATTAAACGACATGAAATAGAATGTTCAAATACATTTATATCGTATTCTGTTGCTAATACAATATATTGAACTGTGTGAGAATAGTACTCAGCCGTTAACACCATCAAATACAATGAGTCTCTTACTGTGAGAATAATATTCCGTTGGAACCCGTTGTCTGTATCACACCACCATAATTGTATTTCTTTTGAAGACTTTTACCCCACCCTATCCTGTTGTGTGATTGTATTCAACTGAATACATTGCAACGGACAAGCTCTGTGCAGATTATTTAACTTTGGCGCGTCAGTCATGTCAGGTCTCGCTCGCTAAACACCTATATTGTAATAATTTAATTAACCCTGACCTATGTAGTTAACCTCATACTTTTGGTAAATTACATTATTTTGCCTAGTAGAATTATTTATTGAACGCTGTATAAGGTGACAAAGTTTGTCTCCCTGAGTTGGTTGGTTTAAGCGCTACTCCAATTCCAGCCTTAACAAGAATCCCATTTAGGGCCTCCTGTATTCCTTCTTCATACAAGGAGTCCTGTATAGGCTATACTATTTACATTATCATTCTTATTAACCTTTTGTTGTGTTTCATGCATTTTTAAGTACATTCTGGTGGGTAACGTTTTCTTTATTTGATTATGAGCAATAAATTGCAATTGAAACTTCATCCGAAACCGCTTCTGTTTCGGGTTCCACTCGAGGGCTTTTCAAGTGATGTCACTTGATGGTTTCCTCAGAGTCTGGACAATCTAATCCACCTCCATTTCTTAATGCTTATTTGTTTCACTATCGGTTCGAGGTTGGTTTGCTCCAGAGATCCCTCCCTGTTGCTGATCTCTCCTGGTCATCTAATCTTTTCAAAGTCGATGATGTTGAGCGAGATAGAAAGGTGACTGTCAATCCAAGCTTTGTTCAATGATGATCCGTAGTCTGGCGATATGATCAATACATGACACGTTTCTCCTGAATCCAAACTGCTCCGGTCGGAGTTTTTCATCCAGGTTGACGTGTTTGATTCTCTCCAGGATGATGTGGCTTAGTATTTTGCTTGAGATGGACAGGAGCATGATTCCGCGCCAGGTTTTGCATTGACTCAAGTCTCCTTTCTTTGGTAGTTTGAATAAGTATCCTTTCTTCCAATCCTCAGGTACTTTGCCCTCTATCCACAAACGTTAGTTTAATCCAGCTGTTTAGGCAGGTGTAGACTACTGTCTAGTTGGGGTCCCCGGGATGGTAAGAACCAATGACTAGAGATAATTAGTGATATGGCTCAAAATCGTTCTCAATGCCTAGCGCAGACGCATTCACTCCATGTGATTTATAGTGTGCGATAAAATTCTCTTGTTCTTACGTATTACTATTCGTTCTGCCTGATATTTCTGCTTATTATCTCTGACTTGAATCTCGCTTTACATTCTTCTCTTGGTTTTTGTACTGAGTGTTGTGTGGCGACTCGAACTGCTGCTCATCTGTGTAAAGCAGTTCTACGTTAAAACGAGTCAGTCAACACTAGTTAATACTATGCTGTGTAAATTAGTTATTTTTTTATATATATATATATACCTGTACTGTTTCATTAATATCCAGAGATTACTTCAGTCAAAGTGGGCGTCCGCTTCGAATCAGAATCTAGGAACACAAATTAGCTGTGAAAAGAAGTGATATATGTATTCTTGCGTATCAATCCATGTAGATAATTATGAACATCGGTTTGATTGGGATAATGTCGAGATTTTAAACAGGGGAAAGCCTAAATGCGCCAGAGAATTCCTAGATACCTGGTACTCAGGCGAATATGCGACCTACAAATATGCTAATATAGACCAAATTTACCAACTGATAAAAAGTAAATCATGTGACGAGAAGGTTTACAGTCCGAGTCAATAAAAAGTGATCAATACAGATGTAAAGATGGTTACCGGGAAACGCAATTCTACCATTCATGGAGAATTTAAATCTGCTCATTTTATGCTAACACTTGCGCTGAAACGGGATGTTGTCCAGGAGGGGGACGATGAAAGCTCCTCAATCGAACCAACCAACTCAGAGAACACTACTAATTGCAAACCAACTATGACCCGATTGCTTAACAAATATGTAGGCGGAAAAGGAGATGGATTGATTGGGGATACGTTGAAGAGGCTGTCAAATGTCATCGCGCGTCATGCAGGCTGTCGCTCGAGTGGAATCCCATTGGGGAGTGACGAGTAGTGGGTCGTCGGTGCTAGGATGACGTTCAGGAGATCGTGTGGCGAAGAGGAGATGAGAGATTAAGGTCAATCGTTAGGGAGGCTGAATAGGCAGGCAGAGAATAGTAGAAATTGTGGAAATGTTTTGTTGAAATGAAGCCGTATGTTGCACTTGGAGCCCAAGGGAATAATAACAATTCAGAGTTTCTTTTTTATCTAAAAATATCTATTATCTATTTTATCTCCTCCACCCCACCTATTGGAAGTAATAACACTAGTAAACTAAATCACTCGGAACAAAATACCTAGTTTTGTTTGGTGTG